GGGGGGGGGGCTGCACCCTTGATAGCCAACACAATACAGGGGTTTTGCAGCAAGAATTTCCTCCCTTGCTGCTCACTATAGGGACCCGGACCCTTAACCGCGAATGTAGAGGGGTGACAGTAAAACGAGTTGAGGAATTTGTCGCTTTCCTTCATCGACATACCCTTACACGGAAGATGGCCCTATCGTGTGACGCGATGTGACTCACCCCGACGAACTTTCAGCTGCTGTCGCCGCCCGCTGCACCACTGCTCTTGCGAACTATTCCCCCGCGTTGACCCGCTTGTGGTTATATTTACGAGGGCCTCGTATTCGTTAATTCGCCCAGAGCAGCTGCCTATGAATCTATGAGGGTCGTAACGCCAAAGCGGTTTAAACTAAGCGAGTAGCCGCTATGTGTCATTACCAGCCACCAGCCGCGCACATTGCCGAAGTGAAGAGCGCCTATGACGCGCAGTGCATTTTGCGAGTATGGCCATTATTTCCGCGTTCTATCCAAAATTTTCTTACGCAGACACGTCGAGACCTTCTAGGTCAACCGGATCAGAAGTACAAGTACAGTGCATTGCGTTCGATGTTCTGTTCTGTGTTTTCTTAATGAATGACAGATAGTGCTCATGCTTATCTACCATCACGACTCTACATAATATACTCCAAGAAAAGACCGCAACACATGGTCGAACTGAAAGACGATAGCGAATCGAACGGCTGTGAGATAGGCTGTCTAGTGTGCCAGTCCAAGGCTGTATAAGGAAGGGGGCAACAATTTCAGGAAGAAGGATCGCGGAATTTTAGTTGTGCGTGTGTCAGGTTATGTTGGGCGAAGCTTCGCACGTTGTGATCCCGCATCAGATGACCTCGAATGCGCACAATTAACCAAGTTGAGTCTTCAGTTTTCGCATTGGCTGTTCGCTTAGGATGGGCTTTCGGCCTAAAACTCATTTTCTATTTCTACTCGGTCTTTCTTCATTTCGAAGGTGAAGGGGCTGTTTCTAAAAATGGCCGGCAATGAAACGAAGCAAGCTCATCGAAAATAGGGGCCAGATTTACCACCCTCGCCGTGGCGGTTACGCCGGTCACGGCCATCGGGCCAACCCCCTTCAAGGCAGCGAACTGAAAGGGAGTGTAGGAGCGCCATTCACAGCCCGACGCTATTCACATTGTGGCCGAATACCTATGGAGGGGCGGATCCGTCCGAAATGTGTAACAGGGGGTATCAACGGGGTCATAAATCAGTAGTGTTGTTCAATGACGCCATCCATATCCGACACGAGGAAGGCCAAAGTACGCCACACAACATTTTTTATGACGTCTCTACGAACTATCCTATTTTATTTCCAGAAAAATTCGCTAGGCATCCCCTCCTGAAATTTTTGACTGAGCAGAATAACCATAGCTGATTCTCACGAAGACCCATGACTGGACTAGGGGCCTGTGATTCAGGGTGAATCACATGTGGTTCTCGTTCCGCTGCGAGGATTACTCATACGTGGGGGCAGGTGAAAGAAGGAGTAGGTAGCGGCAGTGGGCGGCGACGCGGGCAGGGGATGGGGATGGTGAGGTGAACAAACCCTCTTTTTCACCAGCGCGTGTTACTCTATGTTTGGCGTGTGTATTTGACCTCTCTACGGACATTGTTTTCTGCAGGATGGAGCCCCTGCTGGAAGAATGCACGCAGTGCGGGATGCGCGACGAGCGGTCCTTACTGCGCGTGCACCAGCTCTCGTGCAATGGCGGAGCCAGGACGGGGAACGCCAAGCCCGTCACCATCGTGCCCGCGCGGACCCCTCCCGCGGGTCCCCCTGGCCCACCCGGGCCCCTCCACCAGGAGGTCCCCGACGATCAAGGCGAGTCCTTTTTTTCCTTTTTGTGTTTCTAGCCACGTCCCGTGTCGGCATGTGTGTGTTTCAAAGGCGTGTCCCCGCGATGTCTAAACACGATAACCAAGCCGCAAGCGTGCGGGGCATAGCGTAGTGTTGCGTTCGACGCGTTAGTGTTTGTTTACCACATCATTCGCCAACTTGACTGCGTGACAGAGCGTTTCATTTTCCTTCGGGAAACTGATTTAACGGGCTTACTTCTATTGCCAATGATAAGCGGAGTCCTTTCTAAAACCGCAGTCTTCCTCGAGCGCCTATACTCAACCGCGTTAGCTATCTGGGTCCCTCCTTTCTGTCTTCCCCCCCCCCCCCCCACCCAACTAGACACGTTCTCTGTCTCCTATACTTCTTGTTGGAACCTCCATGGTCCCCTGTAATGCCTCTCCAATGTCCCCTCGGTAGCGACCTGCTTGTTGCACGTGCGTGGCAGATTGGCTGCCTAACTGCAGGGCGCTGACGTTCTGTGTGAAGACCGAAACTGCTCTGACTCGACTACACTGTAAACTTACATCGTGCTTCACACAATGAAGAGTGTACCTTTGCAATCCTTTGAACATTAAAGCGTGTCCTTACCATACCACTGCACTCATAATGTAGAGAGACAACTCTGTTCCCGAAAAAGCAACGTTCTTTGTCCTGACTGCATCCAAATTTTTCGCCAAAACTGGTCATACTGTGTGAAGTTGAACATAATTTGTACTAATTTAGTGTAGTACACAAAGCGTGCCCTTGCAGGTGTACACACATAAAAGTGTACAAGGTACACTGTTGAGCGAGGCATCTGTTGCCCATATCAACTACTAACTTCTATGTGGTAATGTGCTCAATTTGCAGGTACATGGGAGTGTTATTTTTCAGTGGCTCAGATCGCCGATCCCACCCGCACCCTCTTCAGATGATAGTAAAAGTCAAGGCGATCACAACGAGCAACCGCGGACGTCCGTGAAACATGGGGATAAAAGGCGAATCGCGCGTCAGGCGTTCTGCCGGCTTTTGTGCGCTTTAAACTGCTGGAATGTACCATGCTTTCGGAATCACCGCGGGGCCGTAGGCGTATCGCCCCCCCCCCCCAGCAAAATTTTTACGTTTTACTGCAAAACACCGAAAAATCGAGAAGAGCAAGCGCAAGCGCACGAGGGGTGGCCTACACATTCAAACGGAGCCCGCCAGTTTGGCAGTTTATATTTTTTGAGTGCCGTGGGAGCGGTGCAGAAACACAGTTGTGTTTCAAAGCAGTGGTTTAGCAGAGCAGAACGCAGGCAACACTTGATGCCGACGGGTATTCGTCATGTCATGTCTGGGTTTTATATTGGTAATATTAAGCAACAGCTGTTCATTTTACTCTCTATTGCCGAGATTACTCATTTAGATGAAGAAACTTTATTAGAGAACTTCTATGATTGTTTTGCACTATCGTATTATATAGCTCCAAATGGCACAAGATACATATCAATATGTCCGGTCATTCTACGATGTGGTTCAAAAACCCACACGATGGCAAAGAAATGAACTTAAAATTTTACTGTGTACTGACTCTGACAATTTACTTGTCACTTTTTGGCCTCGGCTTTTACGGATGATGGTGCCGGCACAGAGACGGAATCTGGAACGGTGGAAGCTTCTTCGATTACTTCAGTCTTCGTCACCTGGGAACAAGCGAAATAAATGACATGATTAGATCCTTCGCAGAAACTAAGTATGATTTACCCAGTGGATGATGGGCAGTGTTTTTTATATTGAACACCTAGCATTAAACAGAGGGATGACTTTACACTTGTTTGTCTGTGGCACAGTTTTTTAGGTACAGATATTTAGCTAGATTAGTAATTGCTATATTGACGATAAAAGTGATACGCTTCCTCTTAGTATATACATAATGATTTTTGTATATTTACGGCCCTAGAACAACTGGGTTAGACTCGATCACCACCACACTTACCCTGCTGGTGTCCGAAGATTTCGAAGTGGTTGTTGTGGAGGTCGAAGGTGGTGCGTTTTCTTCTGTAGTGACCACCTTGGTTACAGTTTTCTTAGGTGGCACTTCGTCCTCGACGATTGTCTTGACCTTTTTTTTCGGGCGTTCCTCCTCTGGCGCCTCCTCTTCCACTATTGTCTTTGTCTTCTTTTTAGGTTTTGGAGGCTCCTCTTCGGGTGCCTCCTCCTCTACGATGGTCTTTACCTTCTTCTTCTTGGGCTTGGGAGGCTCCGGCTCTTCCTCTTCCTCCTCCTCTTCAATTTTCTTCTTGTTCTTTGGCTTGACCTTGTCCTTGCGGACTATCACGAAGTCTCCGAACTCCTCGGGCACCCAAGCCACCCACTGGTTTCCTCCCTCCTCGTCGAGCACTGGAATTCTCGTCCACCCTGCGTACCTGGTGGTAAAGTAAGCAAGCCAGCATGTAATGCAAGATGGTTGATTCGCCCCACCGACATCAGTTGGCCTGTACCGCACACACGCTTGCAGAATGGCTTGCATATCGTCTCCGACCATGGCGTCTTACGGCACGAGCGTAGGCAACCCATCCGTGCGGTACAGGCAAAATACAGAAATGAGTGGGACGAATTACCTGATTACTTATCTGTTTTAATTTAAGTTTTTAACTATTTCAGTAAATTGGAAACATACATAAATTAGAAATCCTAAAAATAACCGCGGGCAAGTAGTTCGCCAAACGTTATTAAGTACTCACCCGCCGTGCGGCTGGGGCTGATAGGAGGGGACATGGCGGTACACGGGTTTCTCCACCCATGGATAAAGAGATGCGTAAGATGGTTTCTTCTTTACCACCTACGGGAAAATTGGAAAAGATCCTATAAAAACACTAAAGAAATTGTCGCTTCGAGAATGGTAGTCATTAAAACCGAGTTACTTTTATTGACTATTTTGAGTTACAAGCAGGGATTATCAAAGCAAAGCGGTGTTAGACTCTGCCGCTGGCTGACCTGTGGCACCTCAAATACGAGTGGCTGCTCCGGCTCCAAATGGTACGTCTGGTAGTAACCGGCGGGGTCGCTGTGCTGGTACTCGTAGTGGACTACAGTTGGCGTAAGGGGCTGCTGTTGCTGATACAGGCGCAACGGGTGCTGGTACCCTTGTTGGTACTGCACTTGCTGCTGTTGGGGCGGCAGCAGTGGCTGCGGCTGCTGCTGGTGGTTGTGGTGCCGCTGGTACCAGGTGGTGGACGTGGCAGAGGGTGAGTGGCGAGCTGCGGTTGCCGACGATGATGTTGTAGACGATGCCCACCAAGCAGACGGGTTAGCCTTGTACCTGGCCTTCTAGCGCCCAATGTAAGCCACATGCACACACGTTGTTACACAGGTTAATTAAAGCAGGGCAACTAATGTTATTTTTGCACCAAGAAAACCGCTTAAACAAGAGAACCAAATTTAAAATTGAGAAAAAATAAGTTTAGTTCTTAAGCAAATTTTTTATCAATGCCGATAATATCTTTTGGTCAAGGTATGCTCGGTTGTACACGGTAAGAACAAAGTCTGATTTTTTTAAGGGGAAGATGGAAAAACATTGAACCTCTCATATTTTGGAGAAAAATCCTCAGATTTCGAGAAGGTCTTAATGAATGAAATTTATTTCCCACAATTTTGAGACTACCTCAAAATTTGAGGAGTTTTCCCTTAAATGTGGGAGTTCCTCAAAGTTTTATCCCTTTTCTCAAGAAGTCAGACAGTTACCAATTAAACTGGTAAGTGGTTCTCTGAGTGCGCATGTTACCAGTGTCCCAGTGTTACGGTGCACTTCAGGCCTTATTTTACACTAGAAAAGCACCAATAGAACTCAATGCCTTTTTAAGGCTGTAGTGAATTTTAATGCGTTTAAAAAGATACGAAAATGTGCAAAGGAATTTCAATTTATCAGCTTGGGGGACTTAAGGGCGCATAATCGTAATTCCTTTTCAAAGACTTTAAAATTTTTCTTGTCCTACCGTGTTTCTATTGTAAAACAGTTCATGGTAATATGAAGCCAACATGCTAGAATTCACGTATGCTTTAAGACGATATATAATAAAGGGCATGCAGAATGAAAGCTTTTGATTTGCAACGTATTAACCCGCTATATACTGACTGCTTACCTGCGCCGCCCACGGATCCACCCCCACGCCGTAATCAGTCCAGCCTGCTTGGGCTGCTGGTGCTGGCCAGGGGTTGACAGGACTGACTGCGCCAAAAGACGCCGGTGAGGACCATGAGCCTGAGGGCACCCAGCCGCTGCCATGGGGCTCAGGGCGAGGGGCGGGAGCGGGTCGTGGCAGGCCGCACGTCTCGTGTACACACAGACCCGCGAGAACGCCAAGCAGGACGCACTAGACGAAAAAAAAGCGTTAGCGCACAAGTAGTCTCTTTTCGGCGCCGTATATTTTACGCGGGCAAGGGAATTATTGACTGTAATTTTCACATGCCATATGTAAAAAAAATAAGCTAGTTTAGCTTACGTGTTGGCTACCTGGTGCATCCAGAAAAATTAAAAGTTGTAGCCAGGTACCCCTGGAGTGAATACTTGACTAAAACAGCCAAAACTGAGCACCCCGTGCCTAATTTTTTAGTTCTATTGTACCTTATAATGTTGTTTTACACACTAGGACCCAAAGAAAAAATATCAAGGTCCCATAGTTAACATTTCGCTGTAACAAGCCATTTATTTTTTATGCGAATCCAGGTAAGATTTTTAAACATTTGATGTCTACGTAAATCTGTTAACGCAACTTCGTAAATCTGCGAACGCAATGTAAACTACAAAATTGGGAAAAATGTCCTTTTTTCATCTGATAGAAATTGCATTTTTCATACAGTGCACACAAGACCCTGCCTCTGCAAGCATCTTCATTGTTCGTGCCTCAGCAAGACCATTTGTTTAGAAACACGCGAACTATGACCGCGCGGAGTGGCTGAGCGGAGTGTGAGCAGCAAGTGAATTACTGTTTACTGCCGTCGGGAGGGTGGCAGAGGGGGCTGCTATACTATGGCCAGGCCCTTCAGGGGCCTGTCTATCCCTCTGCCTGTTGCAAAACCAAGCGAAGTGCAAAGGCCACACGGAGTTGCAACGAATGGGGGACCTAGGTATCATGATATCAATGCGATGTGTCGAACTGGGAGAACTGCTTCTTGCAGTGGAGGCCACTGAGGACCGGGCGTAACTGTGAATGCGCAGCGGTGTTGCGGGTTTGCCTACTCTTCACACCCGTAGGGGGCCATGGCCTTGGCCCCTTGTGGCCATATGGAGTATGCAGTCCCGCAACACTGCTGCGTATTCACAGGTACACCCCCGGTACAGTTCCAATTGGTGGCAGAAACCGGATGAAAGGGGTATTTTTGAGATACAAGTGATTTGGTAATTCTTTTTTTACATTGTTTTTGCTGTACGCTTGAGTGCTATTTAGGGTATCCTAGGTGAATTGGGTCGCACCTTGCTGTCTGCGTCCTGTGTTTCCGAGATTACCAACGTACGTGGAGGGGAGGGAATTCTATTGTTTGTTTCGTGAGCGGCTCCCGGTCAGCTGCACGGCGCGCCCCGTTAACATCAACACCAGAGTGTAGTGATTTATACACGTAAACGTCATAGTTTTAGACCTGTTAATTGCAGGAGAACTGAGAGTTTACGCAATCACGCATGACTTATTTGTACACAATTTTTGGTTAGCAGTATTCTTCAATTATCCATAAAACAACTAGATAACAATTTTCAATGTTAAACAAATTGCAGTTATTTGATTAAACGGATGTAGCAGTTACGACTTCTTTTAAAATGGTGTTATTTGCATTGATTCCGTTGTTGTAAAAATAATTAAACGCATAGATGAATGCACCCTTATTCACCTCTTGGGTATGAGCATGCATGGTAGTACAGATTATGGCAGAGCGAAGTGTAGGGAAATTACAGGGCGTTCTGATGACGAATGGTGATATTTTGTTGCGCAAGTTCCCAGCCCAGTGCCTGTCCCTTGATCCTCGGCCGAAGAAGTCCGGCAGCTATGCTTGCCACAAAGCGAGCCCCACAGCCCACCACTCCGCTTCCCACGGCTACAATATTGGCGGGCGAAGCGACGGGAGTGGCGTGCCTTGCCTGCACCAGTCAATGAGCGGCGCCCGGCCCAGGGCCGCGGCAACGCGCACTTTCGGTCAACAATAACAGTGCGAAGAGCGTCCCTGACTTTAGAGGCCCCCGCACCTCGCTCCAACACATTGCAGGGCGTGTGCCATCTCTGTTGCACACCCTAGCTTGGCACAGAGTCTGATTCAGGGCCTACTACTGAATACTGCCAAGAAGTCAATAGAGTTCAGGGCTATGTGACTTTCGTTCACATCCTTGAAAGCAGGAGGCAGGGAATATAGGCCAAAGATAAATGATATCTGCATATCGACATATCGACCAAGTTGAAGAAAGGCCTGTGGGTATAAGTGCAGTGAAATCAATTGTTTAACCGGTAAACTCTGCTTGCAAGTGCCCATACAGTATCTGTGCACCTGCAAGAGTTTATCGAAATAATTGTACACTTAGGTGTTAAATTTGTCCGTTCCTTACAACTTCCTTGTATTGGGCGCACTACGTGCAACAGAGAAGTTGAAAACCTACAAGCGAGGGGGAAACGACTATGGTTATCCGGTTGACAGCCGTTAGGTTATCCGCACTGAGAAAAATGTTTTGTTGCAGCCATCCAAATTTTGATACCCGCGACCAAATTTTGTTTGGTCAGTCCTGCTTGTTAGTCACAGGCACAAAATTTTAGTTGCTGTAGCTGTAACCGAAATTTTGGTTGCTCTGACCAAAAGTTTAGTTGTTGCGACTAAACTTTTGATGGCCACGACTAATCCGGACTGATCGAACAATTTTTGATGGCTGCAATCGCTGCAATGAAACATTTTTCTCAGTTAGGCATGTGTGATCCGAGGAAATCTGAAAAAATCCGGGGTAACCTGGGGAGATTTTAGGGTAAGTCGGGGTAACCCTAGAGAAAAAGCTACGTAATCCGAGGGATACTGCAAAGGAGGTAATACGGGTCCGTAATCCGGCTGATACAAAATTTAACACTCGTTTCCCCCTCGCTTACAAGTCTACAACGAACCAGCACATTTGCAAGTGCGCAAGTACAAAAATAGAGGAAGGGGCATTTTGAAAAGCATACTCATTTCCTAGCGGACTTGCTGGTTCAACACGGTTTTGCATAAAAAGTTCACCAGAGAATATACATCTATTTAGTGGTGTGCGTATGCTCTTTGTGCCCTCCGGATAGAGAGAGTAAGTAATCTCGCAACGCTGACTGCTGAGGTCTACTCCCTAATGCGCCCGGTACGTAGTTTCTCGTTGGCCTGTCTCCAATATTTTCTGTTTTCAGGTTCTACTGCCTGCCAAATGTCGCGGCTTTCTCGTTGACAAAATCGAAACAAAGGAATAAGACATGTTATGAGCACCATTGTGAGGGAAAATTTAAGGGTGCTCTGAAAACTCAACAGTGTGCATTGCACACTGTATATAACGTGTGCATGCCCATGCACACTGTATCTAACGTGTGCATGCCATGCACACTGAATATACAGTGTGCAATGCACACTGTTGAGTTTTCAGAGTGGAATGCATCAATCTTTGCTTTAAGAATTCGGACTAAAGGCATCATTTAGAAATACGACATTTATTCCTCGTATCCCAATGAAAGCTCATAAGCAGCGTTAACTTTTCGGGAACTTACATATTCTGATCTCTATTCATGATTTTCTTTCCAATGTCAATAGCAAGGTAAGAGGGCTACATTGGGCTCATTCCTCACTCTGCAACGACCTCCCTATCAGTTTTCTGTTCTCATTAACGCTTATTACTTTATTCCCTCTTTCAACGTTTTTAGTGTGAGCAGTTAAGCCATAAAGAAGTGAGATGATTATTGTCAGGCGTGCAGCAATTCAATGTTCCTATCCTTGGCCTCCGGGTAAACGTGGCAAACATGGAATTATAGTTGACATTGTGCCGACTTAATCTAATTTAGCGGTAACGTGTGAAATTTGTTGTCAAACGTCATTCCATAATTTGTACGTTCTGTTCTATTATACTAAATAATTTGAGAATGCCACAGAAAATCTTTTTTTTCTTTCTAGATTATGTGTGGATGTGTCATGCTGGTAGACTTTTCTGAGATGATGTGCTGCCTAGCAGATGCAGCGTACAGGTTTTTTCGTAATGTAGCAATTAATTAGTTCATCCCCGATGTTAGGTCCAAGGACAGGCCGAAGGGCCACTGGCTTCATAGCTCACTGCGCCACGCCGCGCCAGCTATTACTTACTACCATATCTATTTTTCTACGGAAACATTTTTCCAAAACAAAACAAATTTCCTATTTTATCCACAGATAATGTTATCTCTTCATCTTGTGATTATGTATTTCCGTACGTGACATGAAAACCCCAACTGTTTGATCAAAATGTGTGGCGTTTTTGGTAGGAAATACTCACTTGGGATAGAGCTGGCAGCTTCATGATGCACTCTGCCACTACAACACTGGACTGACCCTCCTGGAGTGGGAGACTCGCTATATCTAAGCACTCCGGGTGCGCGGGGTGGGTGGTGGGGGTCGGTTTGTAGGCTGTCGCTGGAGTGGGAGGCTGCCATTTAGGGTCGCTACAGGCGCTGCCGCATCAAGACGTAAGGTGTCATTCTTTTCTTCCCGTGCATGAAGTTGTGATTTTTAGGTAGTCGTTTAAAGACTGACTCTTTTATCAGATGGAAACAGTCTGCTGTTTCGTTTCAAGTTTAACAATGCAGGTTTTTGAGTAATTGTAATATTTTGCGCGATTTACGTATACTCTTTTTATTAAAAGATAACGTTTGCTTAGGAATGCCAATCGGCGCTTCTCTTTGGAGAGCCTGAGTAAAAACGTAATGGCTTTTGTAGTCCATAAATTCGTCGTCACTATGCAGTCATTGTAAGTGATTTTTTTGGGCCAACCTCAAGTTTTGAAATATTTTTCTTGTTTGGCTATTAGCACAATATTTTTGTGTGTATGTTTTCTTTGAGTTGATAATTGTGCATTGGAAAAAGTGTGCTCGACTTTTAAGAGCATTCTGAGAAACGAGCGCCCTTTTCCCTCCGGTTGAGACGTCTTGGGAACTTTCTAAAAATTTGCGTAAAAATGACGTCCTGGTCTGCAAGCAGTTTTGGGAAAACTAAGACGCCCCATGCATTTCTTCCGTAAGGATGCTTGGTTGCATGTAAACCAACACGTGGTGGTCGTGTTTACTATGCTTTTTTGTTTTTATTTTTTGGACATGCTTGTGACAAACAATCCCTTAGTGAAGAAAACACATACTTGCAGATATCCATCACCCACCGGGTTAAAGTTGCGGTTTTTGAAACTTCACAGTAAAGAAGATGCCTACAGTAATTATTGTAAAAATCGACGTACGTCCCACTTTGTGATTCAACGCGTTTCTTGAATTTTTGGTGCTTATGATTTAACATGGAAGCCTGACCACAAAATGTTCACGCAGCAAGAAACGGGTTAATGTCATTCACTTTACTTTTACAATTTTAAATTGTTTTTATAATTGCCATTTGTAAACTATTTTTCAACTGTAAATCTATTTTCAGTGTGGGGTTATATATGTCATGTAAACAAAGTCAGTTTGCAGTTTGCAGTTTCTTTGATTCATCTTTTCTTGATGATTTTCTCGCTAGGCGTTCGAGTTTCTCACTTACAGAAGACACTGACGCATGTCACTGAACAAAGTATGAGACAAACTTTAACATTAGCATTGTAGTGGCATCGAAGTCAATTTTTGTTTGGGTAAAGAAGAATCTTACTCTGAAGGAAAACGTATTTGTGCAAAATTTGTTTCGTACCTTCATGTAGTGTACGGACTTCCTTGTTTTCTTCCGATTGTGTGCATCAACGTGCGCGTTGGTCACGTTTCTCGTCCCTGCGGTCCCTTAGGATGTTTCTCCTTGTCGCGTCTCTTGAGATGTCTCGCTTACGAAGCGCCTGCTGTGCCCTTGCTTCGGACTAATGGCGACCAGGGCTGCGTTTGAAAATGTCACCCCTATAATTCTCTCTTTTTTTCTTTATCCAGTCGTAATTTCGAACGCGTCCGTCGGGTCTAGTCACTTCCCACAGCCTTCATTACTCGAGCATTGCATCATGAGATCGGTGGCTGGGAGGGGCGTGGAGGGCATTGGGCAGCCAGGGGACGGTCCGATCCGACCTTATAGCGTCGTGTCGCCCCAGCTGTACCTACAGACTACAAGATGGACGTACCTTTTTAACCCCTTTAAATTGCCTCTCCTGCAATTTCTGAAGAACTTCTGAAAATAAACTGGACACTAGTTTTGCTTACGCGCAGCATTCCATTTACATGGCAAGAACACTTGAAAAACAAAGGTGCTAAAGTCATGCCTTTCCAGGGGTGCTAAAGAAATTTCCAGTTTAGTGCCTCTACAAAGGCCCTTAAGGTGCTAAAAATTAGTGCCTTTGGCAGTTTTGGCGTCTTTTTCAAAGGTAAAACTTAGCACCTTTGTTTTTCCAGTGAAAAAATAAATTACGGCGTTCAAAATCTCTTGCGCTAAAAATAACAACACTCTGTTATTGGCATTGCCTTATTCGTGCTAGTATCGCCTTAAATCTCACAGCATGTGCCGTGTCATTTTTCCTTGGTAATCGGTAGAAAAGGACGAAAGAACTATAGGAAAACGGATATCTGATGTTTTTTTTCCCTTGCTGTGAGAGTAGTCCACCTCCTCTACCCTCCCCTCTACGTACCCAGTCCTTGCGTCCACCTAATTATTTCATTGTGAGAACGGTTAAGATTAATAGCAAGTCCGACTGGCACACTGCGTTAGATGATAACAAGGGGGTAGCCCGATTTGCAGCTCTAATGAAAAATGGTCACTTAATATCTGATAATACTGGACGAGTTATTAGTCACTCGCCGTGGGTGGTCTGGACACTTCTGCTTACTTCTGCTTCTGCTCTTCGTCAAAATACAGGGTAGCCTTCAAACCCCGTAATATTTGGTAGTTAAATTGTACCGCATGTAGTCGTACGGGAGGGTTGCCGACCGTCTCACCATTGCGTCTTATGGTCTTTTGCTAGTATGGGCAACGCGTCCACGCGCCTGCATGCAGTACAGTATAACTTCATGGTACTATGGGGTCTGTGGGCTACCATATGTAAAACCAGGCAATGCAATTCACGAGCACAATTGCAGATTATTATCATTGGAACACTCACAATTTTTTTAAAGAAATTAAAATGTTTCTATGTTACGTCAAAAGAAAGTTAAGTCATATATCTTGCAAGGTGTATGTGAACTATTTACGGAACTATTACAGAGCTGTCTTTTCCACAAAAACGATTAAAACGTTTCGATGTACGGTCCCAACTCTCATGACTTTCCAAGGGCCAAAATAAAATGACAATTTGTTACTTGAAATGTGTATTGTACACGGTATACTATGAAATATACAAATGATGCGCGCTTTATATTTGTGTACATGCCCATGGATACTGTGATAAATGTATACATACTCATCGTTTAAAGTCTACATCGCAGTCATAATAATGGCAGTATGCGCAGCCTTAGACTATTGAAATGGTATTTTTACATTTATGAATGCGTACACGAGCAAAAACACATTTACAAACGCATACCATTCCATTATATAAATGACTCACTGTAAAAAATACCGTAGGCAATTACGGTTTGCTAACGGTCCTTACCGTATTTTCAGGGTACGGTCTGGCCGTAAAAGTATGAACTGTACTTTTTTGTTTGAGCTAAGAGCTGTATTCGACTTCTCCGACATTTTTTCAAGTTACGGTCTGTTCTGTATGACACGGACCGTAACCAAAAATTACGGTGCCGGACCAGGCAACAAATTTACAGCACAGACCGTAGGCCTTCACCGAGTGTTTTTCTAACAGTGCTGAAGTAGCCTATATATCCCGTACACTTAACTTTATGCAAACCATGTTCACGTTTGTATACAAAGCCTGTTCACATGTCATTTAACACTGTGACATCATATGCAATCAAATGTAAATTCTGCTACGTCTTTTAGAATAGTATTTGACATATGTTAGAACGTGGGTTACCTTTACCTCGCTCTACCCTCACAGGCGATCTACGCGACTGTATCACACACGTTATAAATGACGAACTTCGCATGCGATGCAAATAGCACTGATGAAAAAGGGTTTAACCCTTCATTATTGAAGTGTTCCACTGTAACAATTGTGTCAACTAATTGGTAGATTTTCGCTTTACAGTGTTCACTCGGTAACGATTGTGCACTATGGAAAGTTCAACTCCTCTGCTGTGGAACGCTTCTCACTTCCTACACGGTACTTGCTCTGTTAGAGGATGTCTTTAACAGATGCGTTCAACCCTAAGAAGTGCCCAAGTGCCGTGTTTCACGATTTAAAGTGCCAGGGTTCATACCGGTCAGGAAAATCAGGGAGGTCAGGGAAAAGTCAGGGAAAATGAAATTGTACTGGAAATCAGGGAAAAGTCAGGGAAATCTGATAAAAAGTCAAGGAAAATTTAAGAAATTTGGTACTTTGTACGATGAGGATGCCATCGTGAACGCATAGGCCAATTTTAGCCATGACGCCCTAGTAAGAATGAATATTATCTTTCTTGACTTATCTTATAGCATTATTTTATATTTCTGCCAAATAATAGTCCGTTTTCGCCTCAATTTTGCAAAATTTTGCCTTCTCTCTTAACTAAAAAATGTCAGGGAAAAGGAGGATTTTTTCGTCTGGAAATCAGGGAAAAGTCAGGGAAAATGAAAATACAGATCCGGTATGAACTCTGAGTGCACAACTGCAAAAGTGAACACTTTCGAGACGGGTAAACACTTTACTTACAAGTGTAATTTGCAACACATGCAAAATTCTCTATTTAAAACGAGTGTAACACACTTTTTCTAACCAATATGGCCCGAGTCATAGTCGTTTAAATGTAGTACGTCATAGAGTTTGAAAAGGAAGTTACGGCAGCTACTCTCTGAGTCACGGCTCATAAAACACCTGAGTGCGTCGCGCCGTCCTCCCAGGCAACTCAACGTGCACCTTTAGAGACACGCCGTCTGGGAAGGCAACCCATCGTGCTCCTTAGCTTCCCAATGCCGCACGCGTCGCGCGCGAAAAAATTAACTGACGGTCGTTCCGGGTCCATGACGGACAGGTCATCTTGTAATCGCCCTCTACGGGCGCTGCGGAGTTTTGTTTTATGGGAAAGACAATGAAATAAAGAATTATTTTATCACATATATAGGCGCTTATAGACGTTGGAAATCGTATGGCATACTTTCGCTGGTTCATCTAAGTCGTCTCCACTTAACAGTGTTATGGTTATCGGTGAGGTGATAGAGTCTCCAACAAAAGTGCTCGTGAAGGCAGATTATATATTTAATCTCAATTAAAGTAGGTCAGGCTTCACGGAACGTGTTCGTTAAGCTCCTAGAGAAGAATGCACTTTTTCAGCTTGGGTTAAGATGGTTATCTTGGTTTACGC